TCTTTCAAACAGATCAAGTGAGCACCTTAACACTTTGTATTTATATAGACACACACCACCCCTTTTGATAAAAAAGATAATCTTTGTAACACTCTGTGTTAAGTGGCACATATTTGTAAGTGGCACATACATTTTATTTCCTTACCATATTAAAAGTAAGAGCTTCTTGCTGCTGCCTGCTCAAATTACATAGATTTTCTTTAAGATTAGGGCACACATTGTAACAGCAGCATATAATTTTCTTGCACAATAATTTTTTTCCGGTTGAAAGGTATCCTATAATATCATCAGCATCAACAGGAACAGACACCTGATTTTCAGCTAGACAAAGCTTATGTGTTTGGTGACTTTATTCCTGGTGAAAAGCAGTTTTCAGATAGAAAGCAGCTACATAAAAATTCAAAAACAATCTGACAAATGATTCTTTGACAACGAAGTGCTAGACCAAAAGCAAATGCAAAAACTGCCAAAAATAAGATGGGGGGTGCGTGTGTGTCCCCTGAATGTCCTATTTCTGTTGCTCTAATTTTATCTTCTGTTGATTTTATACACATTTACAAATGGAACATAAGCACTGCCCTTCCTAAAAGCTGAATGGATTCCTTAAAAAAACCAAGCACAGAGCACAAAACCCATTTATCCATTTAAGAAATCACCTTGTTGAAACTACCATGTATGCAACTGTGGATGAAGGGCTGTGGATCCCAAATATCTCAAAGCCACCAGCACGTTCTGAAGACAGAAGATTAAAGACCTACACCTACCACTTCAACAAGATATTAATTCACAGAATTTGCTGGATTCCTTTCAGAGAATGGGAACTACAAGTCTCCTGTGCTTCAGGAAGCATTTCAGGAGGAGTTTGTAAGAGGCAGCCAAGGAATCTCTGCTGGTTTCAAAGCACTCACTTGCATTTTTTATCCTTTGAGAATTACTGGCTGGAGCTTTGTGCCAGAGCACGAGCCTGCATACACAGAGGTTTTATTTTCTTTTAAAAAATAAGATTTATATAGAATTGATAATGGCCCATGCATCTTGTGCCTCAAAGTTTATCATCTTTAGCTGCTATTGATTCTTACACTAATAGAGAATCAAGATGATCCAGGTATCAGAGTCATTCAAGTACACGAGCATTATTAAAAAAAAAAGTCTCAAGGAAATTTTATAAGATGCTTAAATGATTAAAGGTGTGGCAGGAAAAAAAATCCCTGGTTTTAGCCCAAACTCATTTTCTGTATCAAATGAATACTATTCTTAAGGAGTAAACTGTTATTATCTATAGCAAAATAATTCACTTGCATACATGTTGTGACCTGACCAAATGAAAAAAAAGTATTTTTAAGTGCAGTAAAGAAAAATATATTCACTCTAGTAGGGTGTTTATACACAGTTTTGTTCTGGGTTATTAACCTTTTCCATCCTCAATTTGTTACAATTAATAAAGAGGGGTTTGGTTTTAAAGATTCACCAGTTTTCAGCAAATTTGCCCTGATGAAGTCATTCTTACAAAGCTACAGTTCAACCACTCTTAATTATGTACTACTTTGTATTATTAAGGTCAATCCTGAGACTTAGCTGCAATAATAGTTATCTTTTGGATGACATATGGCAAGATCTCCAACTCTTTTTAGCTTTGGAAATTTTTTATCTGCCTGTTCCTTCAAGATGCTAAGCATACATGTGCTGACAAATACAGAAAATAGCAGATGGCAAAAAGCAAATGCTCAACATGAAGCACTGGGGATCATTCAAAAAAGGCTTGGACTCAAGAGATTTGCCATTTTTATTTTAGCAGCACAATTACGTTTAAAAAGAAATTCCACCACCTCTTCTGCTTGATGCTAAGGAACACGTGTGATCAGAATATTCATGATTACAGAACCAATGCCACATTAACTGCTGGTATCCACCATGCAAATTGCTTTGCAAACCTTTGGACTTTTAAGGCTATAAACAGCATAATTCTTGAGGAGATTAAGTTGTGCAGCTATATAAAAAGTGGAAACCATTCTGCACTGACCATACAATTTGACATGAAATCTTTTATTGGAATCTGCTATTCCAGCTTCTAAAAGCTGCATGTAGCTGCAAGCAGCCCTTGGCACTGGCTGTGCCACTTGTAGCACCCCCAGCAGAGAACCCAGGGAGCAGCTGGGCACTTGGAGAGGAGAAGTTAGCACAGTCTGGGGAGCAGGAGAGTGATTTCATCTGAAAGGACACAGAAGGAAACACAACAGGTCCAGCCAGGGCTGTGCTTCTCACAAACAGTGAGCAGTGGATGACCAGGGAACAGCACCAGGATAAAAACAACACTCAGCAACATTCCCCTAGTAAATCCAATATTTGGAAGTTCACAGCCCAGAAATCCCTGAATCACAGCAACATTTCTGTGTTAACATGCCATGGCAGAATTTCAGCAAACTCACAATTTTTCCAACCGTGGAACATCTCCAAGTGAGGCACTTTCCCACTATAAGTAAGAGAAGATATGAGCTGTGCCCTCCAGTCTCTCCCACAGCCCATGGGGGTGCATAAAAACCTTGGTGGTCTCGTTAGCACCATGCTTTAAGGACCCCAGTGACTGTGCTGGGGCTGCTCAGGAAGGAGAGCATCAAGCAGAGCCTGTAACAGTTCAGCTGAAAGAAAGATGAGCAGAGACAGAACACTTGGTAACAACCACAGACAGGCAGCAGATCAACCTTGGGAAAACACCTACAAGTAAACATTCAGTAAACTTCTCTTTTTAGTCAGAGGGACTCATCACAGACACTAAAAGAAAAACAAAAAGAAGTATCTTCACTTTCTCTACCATTTCTCACTGACTTTTCAAATAAAGAGCACTAACCAATCAGGCTGGAAATACACAGATACTAAAGAAATGCTTGTGTATTAAAACAACGCTTTAATCTTCTGAAACTACAGTTAAGAGATGTAGACACACACCTGTAAACTTGGATAATTCTTGCTTCATACATCCCAAAACATTGACATGAAATATTACAACGAAGTACAGCTCCATAAGACAATTTAAAAAAACTTCACACAAGAAAGGGACTATGTAAGCGCTGAACAACACCTGTAATTTTAATTCCATTATTATGAATCAATTCACAGGCAAATAAATATATTCATTCCATTACAGTATTCGGTTTAAATTAGCCCAATCTGGACAGAAGAGGTATTTTACACCATGGTCCCCTGACCATCTTCATTAAGAACATTTATTCATCTTTTACTCACATTTTACCAGCAAGTCAATGGAACAAAACCATTAGCAGGCCCAAGAAAACAATGATTTCTATTCAAAATGGATGTAAGAAACTTGGCTTCCAAAGCCCTCTCCTAAGTTAGGATAATCAAAGTTTAATAGTGAGAACCAAGAATTATGTCCAGAATCTGCACACAAACATCTTGCCAGGTGTAGAACTTAAGACTAAGCACACCAATCAGTTTCAGGCAAAGAAGTAAGTTCACAGGAGGCACTGAGAAGGAGCAGATGTACAGCAGGGGGTGCCTAGCAAATCCAGCTGAAGAATACCAAGATATGTATAACTGGAACATGCTGGCAAAATGACCAACCTTTAATTTTTATATAGTGGTTAGAAATAAAAATTAACAACCTCCCCCTTCAACCCATGAATTTACTTCAACTCTAACAAAACTCAATCTCCTGGTCACTGGCATTCCATTTACCTCCCTTAAAAATCCCAACTTATCACATTCATTCTGACACCTCAAACCACCTCGGATCTGCCATGCTCCAACAAACACCCTGCCAATGCTGACAGCCTAGCTAGCAGCTTCCTCCAGAAAAGGGAGTTTTTCCTGCAAAAACTGAGTTCTGCTCATCTTTCTTCTCCTCTACCAAATCACCAGTTTTCAACAAACAGGAATTTAGTTACCTTGGGAATTCTATCTATCTATCAAATTCAGCTGAAAAGTCACCAGGACCAAAAAAGACACTCCCCTTTCCTCAGAAACCCAAGCCAAAGCACTTTTTGAGTAAAATGCCTGAATCCAAGGGAGCAAGTAAAACAGAATAATCAAGAATCACACAGAATAATCTGGTAAACCTCTGAGATTCTTATGCACATACAGCAGTGCAGAAAAAATAGGGGAATTCACAGAAAGTGAAGTCTTGATGCATGACCAAGAATACAACTCCACAAAAACTCACCAGAAGCTTGCCAATAAAATTAACATATTTTCCTCCTATTCATTTTTTATTTCATTACTTTTGACTATTAGGAAAGAAACTTCTTTTTTTGCTTTGCATCTGGTCTTTGTGTACTCGAGGGCTGCATCCGATCAATCACAAAAACTGTAAAAACAAACCCTGCAACTATTACTTTACTGGTTTATAAAAATTACTTTGGTGTATTGTTGGAAGCCTGGATGCTGAGAATTTCAGACTTTCTGTGCTGCCAGGCACTGACCCCCAGGAGAACACTGCATTGACCTGAGGCAGTGGAGAAGGCTTCCAAAATGGAATGACAGAACTGGGATTGTGGGTGTGGAGTTTGAATAGAAGTGTGTGATATCACAGGGGGGAAAACACAGAATTTAATGTTTTAGAATACAGTAATATATATAAAGCAAGATGGAGGTTTTAGGGTGGAGGCTGCTCCTTCACCTTCTTCTCCATGGGTTTGTGTATTGGATATCTGTGTATTTGTGTATTGGATAATAAAGTCTGCATTGCATGGTTGGTTATTGGGTTAAAAGTAAAAATAAGTAAAGTAAAAGTAAAAATCATTTGGGTGTCATTCCTCAATTGGACAGTTTATCCTTAAAAGGCCTTGCAGAGAGGCAGACACAGTTCCATTTTTAGTTTGTTAGAGTGAAGTGCTGCAGAACTCAGGGTTTGTGAGACTGTAGAATAAGAACCAATAAACATCTGAGCCCCAACAAGAAATACCTTCTCACACGTTTAATCCCAACCTTGGCACAAAAGAACAAGGAATCCATCAGTGTATCCTAAAGAGCAAATGCAGCCTTACCACCAAAGCAAGTTTTTGGTATTTCTGTTTCAGTTCTGCCAGGCTGTCCGAGGGTTTGGCCCCCAGGACCTTGTACCAGTCCTTCTGCTTCACCCTCTCCAGGGCCATGGCCTGCTGGGTCTGCAACCCCTTCCTCAGCACTGCACCAGAAAATCAAATCCACGAAATCACAACCTGGAAGAGAAACAGAAAGAGCAAAACAAGGATGTGGCAAACTGCAGGATCACAGAATTGACTGCTGACCTCAAGCACTTCTACACCATTGCATGAGAACTACTGTGCCAAAAAAGTTAAACTCACGGGGCCATTCCATCCCACAGCCTGGCAAATGTGAAATCTTGTGTTTCCTGTCCAGTGCCTCAGCACATCCTGTTCAGAAGCCATCCATACTTCTTTAAAAATCATTTGTATGCAAAATGAACTTCAGAAATGGCCCAGGTTACAGACACACCTTTTACAGAGACACTTTTTAAAACAAACTTTTGACTTCGAAGCAATACTGTACTTAACACATGAAAACATGGAGTACAGAAAAGGGTGACGTTTTTTAAAAGGGGAATAAGAGCAATGCAAGAAGACACAAGAAAAGGTGTGTGTTTGTTTTTACAAAATGACTTTTTCAGAGCATGGAAACACCTTCATCCTGCTGAGTAAGAACTTTCTTAAAGCAAGAAAGCACGTAAAAACAAATAAGCAAAAATGAACCAAAACATACAAAGTTAGCACAGGTCACTAAGCAAAACCTAACGAGGAGTGTGGGTTTCAATTTTGGCCGTCTTTCATCGAGCTAATGACCCAGAAAGGAAAAAAACAAACACGAGAACAAAGTGCCAGCAGCAGAATGGCAATGCTTGAGCTCCACGCAGATTCTTAGGTGGGCTGGAATCCCAAGAGCACTGCCAGCAGGCAAGAGCTTCATAAACACACAAGCTCTAAAACTATAAATTAATTCTGAAAAGAAAAAAAAAAATAGGTTTGGTGGGGTTTTTTTGGTGGTTTTTTTTTTTGGTTTTTTTTTTTTTGGTTTTTTTCCCCTAAAGCTGCTTCCTGCTGACTACCGCCGCACTTGAAAATGAACTTTCCTTTACGGGGGAAGGAAAGGACGTGTTTCAGACCCGGCAGGGGCCAGCCCCACGGGGCCGGGCACAGCCCCTCGCCCCCGTCCTGCCAGCCGCGGGGCCGCGCTCTCGGCACCGCTCCGCACAACCGGGGAGGCCGCCGCGGCCCCACGCACCGCTCCCGCCGCCCTTCCCCGCAGCTCCGCAATCCCCCCCGGTCCGGTCCGGTCCGGTCCGGTCCGGTTCGGTTCGGCCCAGCCCGGTCCCTCCCCGGTGCCCGCGGCCGCCCCGCGCTCCCACCTGCCCCGCACCGTCCATGGCAGCGCACGCCTAACCCGTCCGGCGGGAAACACCCTCCTGTTCCCCGCAGCGCTTTAGGCCGTGCAGCTCGGCCGGCGCCGCCTCGGCTGTTTCCAGCCGGGCAGTAGTGGCGCGGCACCGGCAGGAAGCGCGGCCCCACGCGTCTCCATGGCGACCGCGGCTGGCCCGGCCCGGCCCGGCCCGGCTGCCGGCGCTTCGCGGGCTCCGCCGCCCTTCCCGCTCCCCTCCGCTCGCTGTCAGAGCCCCACAGCCGCTCTCCCCGCAGGGACTCCGCCTCCCGAGGCGCCGGCGCTGCCGCCGCCCGGCCCCGCAGGCGGAGCTCGGAGCCCGGGCTGCCGGCCTTGGGCCCGGAGTGGGGCGGGCGCTTATTTCTGTAGAGTGTTTGTGCTGAAGGGCAGGGAGGAACGGGCTGCTGGTGAAAAAACACCAAGCTCTGGAAGCAGGTTTTTAGTGATGTAAAGGCGTTAGAAACAAACAAGAAACCACAAAAGGCCTTACATCCCCTCCCCGCCGCTAAAAGTACCAGAACAGCACAAACAAACCCCATGACCACGGCAAAAAAAAACCCCAAAAACCAAAAAAACCCAACCTCCAAACACCAAAAAACCAGCCTCTAAACAAACACATAAATAACCCCAAGGACAAACAAACAAAAGCCCCCCAAACCCAATAAAATCCCCCAAAACCTTCAGTGTATGCTGTAGACTTCAGCTTTTGGAATCTTGGGCAAAACTAGCGAGCAAAATCCCCGAACATTTCTCCAGGCAAGCTCAGTTCACGCTACACTTTACACAGTATTTTCATGTGACACATCAGAACTGAAGGCACTCCTGTGCCTTTTGCTGGCCCTTGAAGTGTTCGATTCCTGGCACGCTGTTCCCATCCAAGAGCAGAGTGGGACAGCAGGGCTTCAGCGACAAACGTGGGGAGTTATTTAGGGTTTAAGGGTGGGGAAACACCCCATCTGCAAAACCGCTCAACACCTGAGTAGTCTGGTTTTTGTCTGTGCTGCTTGTCAGGGTCCCCTTTGAAATGAGAATTTTCTTCTCAGGCAGAGGTTTCAGTGTGGCTCCTCCTTCACTGGGGCTGGTGTGGTTTTTAAAAAGTCTAAAAACAGTTTTTTTAAAAATGTGTTGTCCTGGAGATTGGTCACTACAGCTGTGCTTTCACCAAAAATGGTAAGTATCCTCCTAAAGACTGGATACAGTTTCCTTTATTGTTTATCCTATATGCCTAAAAATCCTAAGTGTTGCATATTGAGGTTTTTTTCAATTTGAAATCATGATAGGATTGGTACCAGCTCATACAGTATTTGAAACACGGAGTTGTGTGAGAGATACAGTGTGAGCAACTGTATGTCTGTAATGAGAAAATAGAAAAAAAGCAGAAATAGAAAAATCTAAATAGAAATTTTATATGTATAGATATAAAACCATAAATTTTTCTATAGAAAATTATTATAAATAAAATCTAAGAAATATAATTAAAATGTATAAATTTATTATATAAATAGAAAATATTATCTGTACGTGTTAAGGAATTATTTCTGGAGTCAGTGGAACAATTTTGGAAGTGAAACACTTGTTCTTTTCTGTGCATGTTCAGCATGCCAAAGTGAAAGAAAATAGGCTATTTAGTAGAACAGTTTGGTGTTCACAGGTTTTGTGTCTCAGTTTCTCTTTTTACCTGCCCAGTTCCAGCAGCCACAATATCTGATCGAAGCCTCTTTCAGCATCATAAATCAGCGCTGAATATTGATTGGGTGTGGATAAATTCAAGAGCTTGAGCACATTTAAGTCACGCAGAGATGAATATTTTGCATCCAATATGGGTTGGGTCAGCCGTAGCTAACGATGCCCTGACTGGCTGTGAGGACTTGTGAAGCTGCTGGTCAGCCTCAAGGCAATTTGACAATCTTTCATCTCTAGAGGTATAAAAATTAACTTGGTTCAAGGTGTGTTAAATGGGAATGGGATGTAGGGGAGAGGGAAAACCAGACTGAGCACAAATGCTCTGGCTGGTGAGCCAGCACAAAGATCGGTGCAGCCAGAGCTGTGCTGCTTTTTATCCCTTCTGAAGGAAAAAAAAAGAATAAAAATAAAATAAAAAGAGTAGGTAAGTGCAGGGAGAGTGTGAAGAACTTGCTATGAGAGTCCAGAAGATTGAAGACAGAGCAGGAACTCTAGGATTGTTGTCCCAGGATGGATGCATGAGACATGTCTGCAAGAAACCAGGCTTGCTTAATTATTTCTCATTATGTGAGCATGCACGGGTGCTGTGGTGCTGTGCATTTCACTGCAGCTGGACACCAGGCTATGGTGAAAAGTTTCTTTCTCTTCTTCAAGAGACTTTAGCTGTCAGTTGGTGGTTTCAAACATTTTTGTGGGAATATTTAACTTTTAAGTAGGTGCTTTTATCGAGAATGTCACATAACATTGGGCTGCGTTGTCACAGAATTATAGGATAATTATTTAGGGACTTAACTGGTGAGTCCTAGAATGGTTATGGGAGAATTATTTAGACTGGAGACTCCTAGAATGGTTATGGGAGAATTATTTAGACTGGAGAGTCCTAGAATGGTTATAGGAGAATTATTTAGGGACTTAACTGGAGAATTCTAGAATGGTTATAGGAGAATTATTTAGACTGGAGAGTCTCAGAATGGCTATGGGAGAATTATTTAGAGACTTAACTGGAGAGTCCTAGAATGGTTGTAGGTGAATTATTTGGACAGGAGAGTCCTAGAATGGTTATAAGATAATTATTTAGAGATTTACCTGGGCACTGTGTGTGCTTCTGGTACTGCAATAAAAGGTGAGTACCAGTGATGGACCAGCTGAAACATCCAGACTTTCTCTCTGTTAACTACACTACATTTTTTATTTCTGGATGGTATTTTGCAAAGTCTTGGTAAGTAAAAATTTTTTGCTTTATTTTTTTGTTGATATTGCTTTTACACTGCTACATAGAGAGTTTTATAATGGTTGTAGGAGAATTATTTAGGGACTTAACTGGACAGTCCCAGACTGGTCATAGGAGAATTATCTAGGTACTTAACTGGAGAATTCTAGAATGGTTATAGGAGAATTATTTAGACTGGAGAGTCTCAGAATGGCTATGGGAGAATTATTTAGAGACTTAACTGGAGAGTCCTAGAATGGTTGTAGGTGAATTATTTGGACAGGAGAGTCCTAGAATGGTTATAGGAGAATTATTTAGGCACTTAAGTGGAGAATTCTGGAATGGTCATAGGAGAATTATTTAACTGGATATTTATTTTTTAAAAATTATTTTAAAAAATAATTATGTAATTAAATAAATTAAAAATTATAATATAATATATAATATATACTATATAATATTTTTATAATATAATACATAATATATATTGTTATAATAATATATATAATATAATATAATATAATATAATATAATATATATAATATAATAAGCCAATAACAATATTATTATAAAAATAATTACAGTGGTATAATACAATTATAACAAAAATATTATAACATAATAAAAAAGTAAATAATGAAAAAATTAATATTTATTATTTAACTGGACACTATGTGTGCTTCTGGTACTGTGATAAAAGGTGAGTACCAATGATGGACCAGCTGAAACATCCAGACTTTCTCACTGTTAACTACAATTTTTACTTCTAGATGGCGTTTTTCAAAGTCTTGTTAAGTAAAGCTTTTTTTGCTTTATTTTTTGTTTATGTTGGTTTTACACTGCTACGTAGGGAGTTTTAGAATGGTTATAGGAGAATTATTTAGACTGGAAAATCATAGAATTTAAAAAATGTGTTGTTCTCCTCATAGGAGAATTATTTAGACTGGAGAGTCCTGGAATGGTTATAGGATAATTATTTAGGGACTAAACTGGATAATTTGTGTGCTTCTAGTACTGCAATAAAAGATGAGTACAAATGATGGAGCAGTTGAAACATCCAGACTTTGTCATTATTAACCACAATTTTTTACTTCTAGGTCTTGGTAAGACTAGTAAAGCTTTGTTTGCTTTTTTTTTTTTTTTTTTTTTAATTTTTGGGGTTTTTTTTTTGGTCGTGTTGGTTTTATACTGCTACATAGAGAGTCCCAGAATGTTTTGGGGTGGAAAAGACTTTGAAAATCATCCAGTTCCAACCTCCTGCCATGAGCAGGGAACCTTCCACTGTCCCAGGCTGCTCATCCAGCCTGGCCTGGGTCTCCTCCAGGGATCCAGGGGCAGCCACAGCTGCTCTGGGCACCCTGTGCCAGGACCTGCCCACCCTCACAGGGAACAATTCCTTCCAAATATCTAATCTAAATCAATTCCAACGTCATAAATAAGCACTGGATAAATTTAAGAGAGTGAGCATGTTTAAGTCATGCAAAGATGAATATTTTGTGTTAAATAATGTTTTGCAGTTGTTGTCTTCATCTTTTCAATGCTTTTCTCAGTACAGGGAGAAGAATTTTTTTCAAGTGATTTTTTTTGTCAGAGCTCTAGAAGATAGCTGACTCAAAAGACTGTCAAAAGTGACCATTTTGAGTTTTGTCTCTTGGAAATAATTGAGGTAAAATAATTTGTTCAGCTTTGAACAATGTTAGACTTATTTTTTAATCTAAATATTAAAAATCCTTGGAAGATATAGGATTATTTTAAAATTATTAATAGATTTTTTTTCATTTTTTTTCAGAGAAAGAATGATCTGAAATGTTGAATGTTGAATTCTTCCAGAATTTGTTTTAATTGGATCAGCTTTGTCAACAGTAAAAAGAAAAAGTTTTGTCTCCCAGGAGATGTGCGTATGATAGACTAAATGTCATAATGATGTGAACAAATGAGATGTAA